ATACATACGCACACTAGCAGCACCAGCCAACTAAGTTTATGGCACCACTTACCGTGTGCATGTGTCGGTCTGTTTCCGTACGGTCGTCGTCAATATCCGACCCCTGTAGGTCACCTTCAGCAGTCCTGCTCCTCTTCCTGCCAATACCTACATCCGGTTCACCATCCGTGATAGAGATATCTGGTGTGTTGCTTGGTATAATGTTAGGGGTGTTGTCTCGAGTGCCCATTCCGTTACTCCCAGATGCGTCCACCATAGAGTCAGTCCCTTCCTTCAGTGTATCTTCGGCAGTCTCTGCGGCCGCTAAGATCTGTGCCAGTTCCATATCTGTGGCATTTTGTGCGTGCTCTGGATCATGCACTGAGCCATTTTGCGAATGTTCAGTATCTAGGGCTTGAGTTGGTGGTTCGTTGCTCTCCAAATCTGTGGCGTTTTGTGTGTGGTCAGTGATCTGTTGGTCGGCAGATTGTTTGTGCCCTTCTTGCCTAATTGCGGCGGCACTCGATTGGTCCGTATTTAAATCTACGGCCGCTTGGGAGACTCCCGTTCCGAAATCTATGGCATTTTGAGACTTTTCCTTCGTATTTGTGGCATTTTGTGCGTGGTCTGTGATCTGTTGGTCGGCAGGGTGCTTGTGCTCTTCTTGCTGAGTGGTGGCGGCACTCGATTGGTCCGTATTGATATCTGCGGCCGCTTGGGAGACTCCCGTTCCCAAATCTATGGCATTTTGAGTCTTTTCCTTCATATTTGTGGCATTTTGTGTGGTATCTGTGGCATTTTGTGTAGCGATTTGATTCTTTGTCATGCTTGTATCCTTAGTACTTTGCATAGGTCTCGTATCCGTATGTGTGGGTTTCTGTGCATCTGTTGTGTCAGCGTCAAGTGTGACGTCCGTGCACAAATCTATGGCATTTTGTCCCTCCGCCTTTTCCGGATCTGTGGCATTTTTTCCTTCCTGTATGCCCTGCATATCGTCAGGTGTAGGTTGCATGCTCTGCCTATTGTCAGGTGTAGGTTTGGTTGTGGATGGTTCTTCAGCTCCTGGCCCGAAGTCCGTTAATATCTTTTGGCTACCGGTTGATATGGATACAAGCAGAGGTCTCAGCTCGCCTCTGCATACCAAATACTTGTCCCTAGAAGAAGGAAGCGAGGAAGCATAAAAATAGTGTGAGATGCAAGTATACTTGTAGATAGATATATACAGATGATATATATATCAACTGCTCAGTCCCAGAAGAAACAAGAGAGAAAACATGAGAACATTATATGTATATATATATACATATATATATATATATACGTCATGGAATTGAACACCTCCGTACATTAGTTTAAACAAGTATATGAAATGAAGTTTGTATCAAATGAGCGTTTTATATATATATATATATATATATAATAACATGAGAATATTATATATATGTGTGTGTGTGTGTGTGTGTG